CATGGTTCTTAAGTATCCTGTCAGGATTTTTATAATTCAAAATTGTATAAAAACAGATTCTTGATTACATCTTTCACGATGTGACTGGGTTTCCTGGACGATGTTATCAAATTTCTTGACAAGATCTTTGTAGGACTTGGCTAGGCTTCGTTCATGATATTATCAGTTTCTTGGCAGGATTTTGTAAATAGAATATAAGAGAAATGCACACAGAGTATCGATCTCTAAACTTTCAGTTTACATACCGATCAGCTTACCCAGCTGGATATGGCATGTCATTCTAAATCATTTCAACGTTCAATATGTTAATTTCTTACATTAATATAAACTTCTATTGGAATCCTATGTGAATATAAATTATTTCAAAAAATTTTGAAAATGTAATACTATTTCAGATATTTGTTTTAATCGGTGAAATTTTACTATTTTTTGATTATTTCAATTCAATTTAAAAAATATATTTGGAATTTTTTTCGAACATAATTAAAACTATAAGCAGTTTTTGTCGAAAGATTTGCTGCTGACTAAAACTATCTGTTTAACGAAAAAAATTTTATGATGACTAAATTCAAATTAACACCATAATTTAATGATTTTTCAATTTTCTTTTCCTGATAAGATTGAAAAAGAACTCTTTGCTGTAGTCCCAACCTCAAAACAGCTTTTATATAAACTTCAAAGATTTTTAAGATTCATTCTATTTCTTTATGAAAAGAACCAAATCAAGATCAAAGTAAAAGTGTCAATAGATAATTTACTTCATAGAATATTGTCGTGTTTCGAACAAAAACACAGTAGCATCTTGAAAGATCTTTGTATTTATTTTTGTTGAGACTTTGCTAAACATTGGTATTGAAATTCTGTTGTAATGTATAGATCTACAAATTTTGAAAGCATCCTGATCTGGTGAACCTAACTGAAAACGTGAGAGAATCGTTTGAGTCATTCTTGCTAGGTTGCTGACAGGATACTGAAAATTAAATTTTAAATATTACTCTCTAAACATAAACCTGGAAAGATCTTAACTGGCTCCTTGTGTTTTCTTATCAACATCCAGATCATATTTGTATTTTTTAAAAGCATTCGAAATATCTGTTCTTAAATAGTTCCACTTAGGATCCTGATCGAAGTTTAACAGGATTTGTTAGTTGAGGATTCTAACGGAGTAGCTCCTTATCAGGATCCTGCATAGGATTGACAGTGAATCGTAGCAGGATTCTCCAAACTCAATTCAGAAAAAAATCTGAGCAAGATCTTGAACAAATCTTGGATCGAAGCCTGAATCAAATCTGAAAGGATCCTTGCAATTTATGATTCTGAAAGATCCTTCAAGGGTGTCTCAGGAAATCGACATGGCTGAGCAGACTAAGCAGAAATCTGTAAAGATCTTTGGTAAACCTTTACATTTTCTTATCAAGATCTTGATTAGGATCAATATTACCTTGCAAGGTTTGGAAGCGTATATTCTTGAAAAGTTCTGAACAAGATTCTGATTGAAGCTTTACAAGATTGGTCAGTTTCATATTCTGATTGATTTGATTATTTTCTTGCCAAGATCCTCGTCTAATATGGCTATCATTCTTGCTGGAATCCTGATACGATGATTTGACCTACATCCTGACGAGAACTTGGTAAAATCTTGGCAGAATCGTGTCTGATAATCTTGAGCACGTCCTAATAGGATCCTGTATTCTTAACTCAGAAAAATATCTGACCAGGAACTTGAAAAAATCCTGAACAGGATCTTGTTTCACCTTGAAAAGTCTTGAAAACAGGATCCTTCCAGGGTTTCTCAAAGAATGAAAAGGATTGAGGTTAAGGCTTTACTTTCCAGGAGTATATATAGGATGTACACCGTCCATTAACTAATAGTATGCTATGTCTATGGACTGATGACGGATGGTGGATTTTTGAGACTGAAATCTCATTGTTAAGGGAAATGATCTTTAAAGATCTTTAGGGATCTTTCTTTTTATGCGTGTTGAATCTGTATCTGTGACTTAACTGTTAGAGATATGCTGAACAGCTGTGACGATGACTGAAAGCACGTGGAAAATTGTGAGCAAGTCTGATATTTGATCGCGTTCGTCGAATTTTGGTTGAGAATATTTTCACTTACAATCGATTATTAATTCGAAAAAAATTGATCAAAATCAGATTTTGTCGTTTTTTTTACATGAGTTGCTATCTGATTGTTTCATCTGAGTTGAAACAACAAGATCTGAGGCGCATCCAGTTTCCGGATCCGATCTGGGGAGCTAGATTGAAAATGCCCCGCCTTCGGGCTACGTAACCACAACGGAAACTCTTGGATACAACGTCTATATTCTGTCGCTTCGATAAAAGCATCAGAACCGTTGCCAGGAAAGGTATTCGAAGATAGCTACCGAAGGCAGGAACTGAGCTAGAATCGGCAGCCGAATCCGATTTAGGAATTCTACTTCCAGAGCGCGCAGCCAAATGACTGGATCTTGTCGTACATCTTTGACCTGGATATTTCTGAACTAGAAAATCAGATCGTCATTCGAGCCAATAGTGAAAGTTTTCAAAATCTTAAAATACTAATTATTTTTGTAATTGAAAACAGTTCAGTACAGTTTGAAACAAATAAAGGACTCATTTCGATGAAGTCTATACTTATTCCTACTTCACACTTTTGTTTTATCTCAGCACCACTACGTTCGAGTTGGACTGATATTCATCCGAATACAAAATGGATACAGAATGGTCTCACTGTCGCTGGAGGAAATGGAGCAGGCAGTGGAATCAATCAAATCTGTAAGCCATGGGGTTTATATGTCGATGATGATCAAACTATTTACGTCACTGATTACAATAATCAGCGCATTGTGGAATGGAAATGTGGTGCAACGACTGGCCAAGTGGTTGCCGGTGGAAATGGAAGTGGAAATGGAACTAATCAGTTAAACTACCCATACGATGTGATTATCGACAAAGAGAGAGATAATCTCATCATCTCCGATTCAAGTAACAGAAGAGTAGTTCGATGGCCTCGTCGAAATAGTACCAGGGGAGAAACTATCATTTCAAATATCGGTTGCGTCGGTTTGACAATGGATGAGAATGGATCTCTCTATATCGTTGACGTTGGAAAACATGAAGTGAGACGATATAGAATTGGTGACACTGAAGGAATGGTAGTTGCAGGTGGCAATGGAGAAGGAAATCGTCCCAATCAACTCTCTAATCCCCAATACGTATTTGTCGATCGAGATCATTCAGTATACGTGTCTGAGTATGGAAATCATCGTGTAATGAAATGGGAAGAAGGTGCAAAGCAAGGCATTGTCGTAGCCGGTGGTCAAGGAGCTGGAAATAGTCTTACACAATTGAATGGTCCTCGAGGAGTCATTGTCGATCAATTGGGCACTGTCTATGTAGCTGATCATGAGAATCATCGAGTCATGCGTTGGCCAAAAGGAGCCACACAGGGAAGTGTCATTGCTGGTGGAAATGGTTATGAAACACAGTCGAATCAACTCGGTCATCCCATAGGTTTGTCATTCGACCGGCATGGCAATCTCTATGTCGCCGAGTACCGCAATCATCGAGTACAAAAATTTAATATCGAATAAACTCAGTACGATGATTAATTTTTTTTTGATTCTCTTTCTCTTACAAATAAATCGCGATTAAATAAAAAAATATTCATAGCTATTTTATTTGCACGTGCGCGCGCGACCAGGAACCATCCTGGTGGAGCCGCAGCGAGCGTAAAGCTCATACACGCACGGGACAGGCTCTCATCATTCACATCAGAGATGTGTCAAAGAGTCTGATGCAGGCCCGATCGTGTGCCACGGACACCAAGACAGTTCCTGACCGAGCTTTTAAGGACTACTCTGAAGTCCTTCATATAACGCGAAGCCTGACCTCAACGAATATAACTCACCCCATCTTCTTACTAACACTCATTTTCTTTAGAGTAATCCTATTCTCATCTCAAAAGAAAAAAAAAATAATCACTTACTTTCTCTCTATGTTGGATGATGATGATAGTGTTGTTGATGATGAAGACGACACAAATATATTGATGGCTAAAAGAAAAGGAAAAAAATTCGATGAGCATCATAGAATTAAAAAGAATGAGATAACTTACCCCACTGTTATCTGTTTCATTGACCTCGGAAAAATTTTTGATCTAAAACGAAACAAAAGAAAAGAAAAGAAAGAAGAAATTACTTACAGTCTCTGACTTGCTCATGTCTACTTGAAAGAAACGAAACAAAAAAAATTAATTAGAAAAAGTTTTTACTTACTTAGAATATGCAATAGCTAAAATAAAAGAAAACCATACATAAAATAGATCAAAGGAGGATTTATCACCCTCCATATGATCAAAAAAAAAAGAAAAATTAAAAAAATTAAAACTAATACCTACATTTTTGTTATTATTTTGTTTGATATGATGCTGTTGAATATTATGTTGTCGAAGTCAATCTAAAACATAAGAAGGAAAGATTATTATTTGATTCAATAAATTGAATGATTTTTCGAGGGAAAATCATTCATATTTATACATCAAAAGATCATTTTTTTTCTCGTCGGAGAGTGATTACATGGCGATATTAATTAAGCTATAATCGGGACACGCACATACATTGAGATAAATTCAATTACAATATCTCAATGTATGTATATGGATAAAGCTTAATTGATATACACAACGATAACATGAGCGATGACTTATGGGCGAGAAAAAGAAAAAACAATGAAAGGAAAAAAAAAAGTTGTTATTGTTCACATGATCAGTTGTGAGTACGAAGCAGACGAAGTCGAACATACACGCGATACTCGAGTCTGTATTTATTATTTATTTTTTTTTGTTCGATAGAGTAACAAAGCAAAAAGATTTATTACATATTTGAAGAGAAAATTTTTAACAAATAGTTTACGTTAGATTTGTTCTTGTAGCTGCACAAGAAACGATACTCAAATCACTCTTTTTGATATAATGAATGTCAATTTATTATGATTATTAAAAGTTTCAAATGTTTATTTCCACTATGATCATTAACTAAAGGAATAAGTAAATTATTTTAGAAACAAATAAAAAAATGTAATTCTTTTTAGATCCTCATTACGGATTATAGGGAGTGTTTTCTTCTGCAAAAAAACAACATTCACTCTAACGAGATTGCATGACATCACATTTATTGAAAAATTTGTTTTCTCAAGAACTCTTTTAACAAAGTGATACAAAATAATATTAGTTGAGTTTAGCAAAATGTATACCTCATCAAACATTTGTCATTTTTTTATTATTATATCGTTTTAAGAACCTTCTATATTACATCAAATACAATAGAAGATAAATAATGGATCGTTTTAATCAACGTCATCGAAGTCAAATATCGAAAATGATTTTAACTTTAATGAAATAATGTAACAATAACTTCATTTTTTTATACTTTATGATAAATTATACTGGCATTAATCTATATTAGCTAAATCATTGATAGATGAAACAAGAATTTGATGACAATCAATTTGTCGTTGAAGTTGAGCACTTTCTGTGACACCTATTTGAAATGATTTGTTTTATAGTGAATTTAAAAAAAAATATTTTATATGCTATTTTACAATAATGTCATCAGAAATATTTTAACTACGTACAATAGGTAAACTATAAAGAAATAATATGATAAAATTTTTATTATTCTTTTACATGTTAATTTTCAGTTGTTTAGCTTGAATATATGTATAACGCTTTGGACTTCAGGATGAACATGTGCTTTCGTAATTATATCAATTATTGTTGGTATTGTCTGACGAAGTTTAAGTAAATTTTATATCAAATATGAATCAACTTGACCACTGCCAACGGTACAAATACATATGACTGATAAAGAGAATATAGAATTGTTAGTAACTATTGAAAGTGATCGTCGAATAAGACAATGTATAAAACAACCTCGGATAACATGAATAAGTGTGGACAAGGTATTAAAGATATAGTTCTAGAAAAAAATGTTCAGCGCAAAGCTTCTATGAAAATTTTTCATGGTAGCTTATTTGTAACTATTATTCTTAAGACTAAATGTGAATAATCAGAGTAAACACTCATTCTCAAATTACTTATTAAAGTTCTTATGATTTATTCTTAAAGATCATGGGATAAGAAAAAAATCTAGTTGAATTACAAGTCTAGAAACTCAAATTATTAAAGAATGATTTTTCATTCATTTTACGAAATAGTTTTGTGTCATAAAATGAATTATCAGTAGAAATTAAAATTTTTATATATGAACATTTTTTCCTTTTCATATTGAGTATATTTTTTTTTTTTTTCTAACTTCAATCATCGATCGTTCTCTTCTATTTAGTTGTGAATCAGATGTTATATGTCCTTCTTCAAAATAAGTACGTGAAAAATTAATATCTCCAACAATCATTGCGACATTTTTATTATTCATGGATTGAAAGAAGTATTACAATTTGTATATTTATTCTAAATGGTATTCGTGCCTGTGGTAGAAGTGAAAGCCTCACAACTACATCTTGATAGATCAGGGTTTTTTCATTATGATAAAAAATAGAAGAGTAGAATACAAGAAATGTTAAACTTTTGAGAAACGCAATATAAAAACAATTCTTCAGATATTCTCTGATGCTTGAAAAATTTCTTCATTTTATCGAATTATTATTCAATTGTCTGTTACACTAAGCTAATTTATAATCATAATTCTCATATGCTATCATATAAGAAAATGTATTTGAAGATTCTTCACTTTAAATCCTACAAATAATGTTCTATTGATAAATTTTAGAGAGAATTAATTTATTTCAGGAATAAATTTTTTAAATAATTAAAATTATTTTTTTCATTTATTTACGAGAAAATTGTTTGAGACATGCATTCATTTAATAATTTGTTATTTATACACTAGAATTTTATTATTCAATGAGATATTTTTAGGCAGTCATATGCATGATGGAACGTATCAATTTTTGACAATATACTATCATTGTCTTTTCTATCGATAGAATA